AAGCCACACCTCCCCAGATTCTCTTTGCCCTGATTGGATTGTGATACTCCGTGCTAAAGCTACTCCTTTACATGGGCACCCTCCTGACCCCGATGAGGCTCTTATACCTTACTCTGGGCCACTGTTGCCTCACCCACTGTGAATGTCCACCTAATGGTTTTAAGATTCAGTTGTTCAGGAAGGGAAAGGTAAAAGGAGAGAATAAAAAGCCGGGAGGAAGAGAAAGGTAAGGGGAAGCTTATTTTTGATTAGTGTTTGCTTGGGGTATCCTTTTCCATTCTTTTAACTTAGTGTATCTATGATCTTATATTAAAGCATTTCTCTTGTGAATAGCATATACTTGGGTCTTGTTCATCTTGTCAACCTTTGTCTTTTAATTGGGATATTTAGTTCATTTATATTTAATGTAATCATTGAGGTGGTTGATTTTAAGTTTTGCCACTTTGCTGTTTTCTATTACTCTTGTCCTTTATTATTTTAATCAATTATCTTGATTTCATGTTAGCTCCTTTACTGGATTCTTTTGTTATACTTTTTCTCTATTCTTTTAGTGATTTTTCTAGAGATTATACTTCTTGACTTTACCTTAAATTAGTATTCTTACCATTTTATGAAAAATGAAGCATCTCACAACAGTTTAACTCCATTCGCCCCCTCCTGCTGTTTGTGCTTTTGTTGTATATTTCTGTTCTACATCCCCACAAGACATTATTATTGTTTATTTATAAAACAACATATAAATATAAAGGTGTATGTACCTGGGTATATGTACATGTATATATTAAACACACACACACACACACTTTAAGTGCTCTTTGTTCTTTCCTGCAGTTCTGTTCTATGTTGGCCATTTTACTTCAGCCTAAAAAAATTTCTTCTAGTATTCCCTAAGGTCTGCTGGGGATCAGTTTTCTTATTTTTCATTTATCTGTATTTGATTTTTAAAAATTGATTCCAATTTTCTGTTGAGATTCTCCATGTTTTTTTTTTCTCCTCTTTTGCGGTACACGGGCCTCTCACTGCCGTGGCCTCTCCCGTTGCGGAGCACAGGCTCTGGACACGCAGACTCAGCGGCCATGGCTCACAGGCCCAGCCACTCCACGGCATGTGGGATCCTCCGAGACCCAGGCACAAACCCATGTCCCCTGCATCGGCAGGTGGACTCCCAACCACTGCGCCACCAGGGAAGCCCTAGATTCTCCATATTTTTATCTATTAATCCCCATCTTTTACTCTCAATATAGTCATTTTAAAGTTCTGTGCTAACTCCAGAATCTGAATTCCCTCTAAATCAATTTTTCTTGGATTTTTGCCTTAATTTTGAGTCACTTTTTCCTGCTTCACAAATTTCATAACTTTTGATTGTGTGCTGGACATTGTGAATAAAAAAATCATAGAGACTGAAGATGCTATTACTTTGCACCAGAGAAGATTTACCCTTTTCTCTGTTAATCAGAGTGGCTGATCATTTCAGTCATTTCAGGAATTTTACTAGATCAGAACTGGGTTGGAGCTTTAGTTATCTCATCCTACCTATGATTTTTCCTAATTTGTGGGCTCCTTGGATTTTTGCTGTAAGCCTGACAGTTCTTTGATTCTTCAATAAATACAGTCAGTTATTGACTTCAGTCTTTCAGATGTTTGAATTCAGTTCTTTAGGCTCTCAGTTCTCACAGCTTCAGAGTATGGCAAATGTAAGGAGAGACCAGCTATGTGTTTGTTGCCTTTACACTTTCTCAATGAAAATTTGTCTCATAAACACTGAAACATTGCAGATGATTTCACCTTTTCTGACTCCGCACCCTTCTTGGGGATGGCACTTCTGGGTTTTTACTGTGAGTCTGGTAGGTCTCTAATTCCTCACTTTTGAAAGTTCTCTCCCTCAGGCCTTAGGTATTTAGCTTCTTGCTTTATATAGGTTCAAAAACTGACAAATGTCTTGAAGAGGAGACCTAATGATTGTCACAGGCCCCTTTATCTAGTGGGATTTGGTTTGTTAGTGCCATGACTGTGCAGGAAATTTCACTCTGCTTTCTTGGCTCAGTCCCCCATCATCCTATACCACCCTGGCACTAAGGAAATGTCCTGTGGGGGAAATTGGTTTGACATTCTGCTAGATTTCACTCCATCATGCCAGCAAATGAGTTCATCAAAAGCTCTGGTGATTTCTCTTTTCCAGTGGAGTATGTCTCCCTACACCAAACCTCTGCTCCAAATCTCTAAATGTCCCTCTCTAGCATATTAGTTGACATTGTTTCTTGATTGCTTCCTTAGCTCTATGATCTTTTATTCAATTTTGTTTGCTTGTTGCAGCAGGAGTGATGCAGGTAGGCCTGTGCCTACCTAATGCAGGCATATTAATATGGAGATATGGGTTTGGTCCCAGACACCACAATAAAGAGAATATCATAATAAAGCAAGTCACATGAGTTGTTTGGTTTCCCAGTGCATATAAAAGTTATGTTTATGCTATACTGTAGTCTATTAAGTGTGCAATAGCATTATGTCTAAAAAAAGTACGTATCTTAATTTGAAAGTAGACTTTAAAAATGCTAACCATCATCTGAGCCTTCAGCAAGTTGTAATCTTTTTACAATAGTAACATCAAAGATGACTGATCACAGATCATGTAACAAGTATAATAATGAAAAAGTTTGAAATATTGTGAGAATTACCAAATGTGACATAGAGACACAAAGTGAGCAAATGCTGCTGGAAAAATGGCACCACTACTAGACTTGCTTGACACAGGGTTGCCACAAACCTTCAATTTGTTAAAAAAAAAAAAAAAAAAAAAAACATTATCTGCAAGGTACAATAAAGTGAAGTGCAATAAAGTGAGGTATGCCTATACATCCTGCCTCAAAGTAGAAATCCTATTTAGGTCACCTTTAATTTCTCTCTATGATATATTAATAGTTTTCTGTTTAGGGTTCTTACATTTTTTATTATACTTATTATTAGGTATATGATGTTTTGATGATAATGTATATGGCATATTTTTTAGTTTTTAATTTTATAACTTTTCAGACACCAAAAAATGTTAGTGGAAGTTTTTAAAGTTTGGTCTCGTATCTGGCAACTCTTCTAAAAACTAACTGATATCCTAATAAGTTATCTGTAGATTGTTTTGGATTTTCTGTATCCTTAATTATATCAAATATGGAAAGTGACAGGACTATTTCTTCCTTTCTTATCCTTATATTTCTGATTTCTTTTTCCTGCCTCACTGCTAATGCCATTTAATACTTTTACTAACATGTTGAATAGAAAAGGTAAGAGTTGGCATTCTTACTTTGTTCCTAATCTTACAGTGGACATTCTCCACATTTCACTGTAAATAGAATGGTGGCTCTAAAGTTTTTTGTAGTTTCCCTTTGCTATGAGTTTTTAATCATACATAATTATTGAATTTTATCAAATGTTTTATCTGACTATACTGCTATGATCATATACATTTCTCCTTTATTTTATTGATGTGGTGCATGACATTTGTTGATATTTGAATGTTAACTCACCTTGCATTTCTGGAGTAAAACAGCTTGGTAGGAATTCACACACACACACATTCACTCACTCACACACTCTACATTTGATTGTCTAACATTTTGTTTATGATTTTTGCTTCTATATACATAATGGAGATGGGCCTATTTTCTTTTCTCATAATTGTCCTTTTAATTAGTAAATAGTGTATAGAGGGTAGAGATTTAAAAGACCTTTTAAAAGGTCTTCTTCTGTGATATAATAAAATACAGTATTACTCCATTTTTTAAAAATGACTTTTTTTATTTTCAAATAATTTCAAATCTGCAGAAAAGATACAAACATAATAGAGTTCCCTTTACCTCTCTCCCAGTTTTTCCTATTGCTAACATCTTATACTACCATAGTATATTTTTCAAAATTAAAAAGCCAACATTTATATATTACTATTAACTAAACTTAAGACTTTTTTTTTATTTCACCAGTTTTCCTGTTAATGACCTTTTTCTGTTCTAGGACCCAATCCAGTATATCACATTCCACTTAGTTGTCATGTCTGCTTAGTCTTCTCTGGTCTATGACAGTTCCTCATTCCTTCCTTGTTTTTCATGATTTTGACAGTCTTGAGGAATATTGGTCTGATATTCTCAATCTGGATTTGGCTGATGTTTTTCTCATGATTAGACTGGAGTTACAGGTTTTGGCAAAGAATACCGCAGAAGCGAAATAACCTTCTCATCACATCATTTACAGAGAGTATGTAGTGTCTCCGTGACATCACTGGTGATGTGAAACATCATCACTTGCATAACATGGTGTTTGCTAGGTTTCTCCACTGTAAAGTTACTTTTTCTCCCATTTTATACTCTCTTTGGAATTCAATCATTAAGACCAGCCCAGGACTGGACTTAACGGGAAGATTAAGCTTCACCTCCACCTCCTTGGGGAGGAGATGGATGCTGGGGGTGAGGTTACCTACATATGGAATTCTTATGTTGGCAAGATTTGTCTTCTCCCTCCCTCCTATTATTTATTTATTTATACACTCATTTATTTACTCCATTGTGTTTTAATATGGATACTTTATAATCTGTATACATAGTTACAACCTTAAAAACCTCTGGTTCCCCCACTGACATAAACTTTTTGAGGAAAGGCTTTGTTTCTTTTTTATTTTTGTACACTCTATGCGTTTAGTATAGTCCCCTAATTTATAGTGGACTTCTAATAATTATTTTTTAATGGATATCTTTTCACTTCAACTGAAAAGTACCCTTTCCTTATATAATAGCATTCTAAATCCAAAATAAAAGTAGATTTTAATGTAAGTAAAAGTAAACTCATGGATGATCACATTGTAATAAGTATGTAAAGAAGCAAAAGGTACTGCAGAAATAACTTAACCATTTGAGTTGGATGTCTCCAAAAAATATTGAAGTCACATTTGGAAAGAAATTACAGTATTTGATAAGCCAAGGATATGACCTGCTGTGTGCTTTCTCTTTTTTGTTCAGATCACCAAAGGAGACTAAGACCCCGTTTTCTCCCTTCTCTGGAAAGTTATCATCTGATGCAGTCACTCAGATAACAACAGAAAGTCCAGGAAAAGCCATGTTTTCATCTGAGATTTTTGTTAATGCTGAAGATCGTGGACATGATATTCCAGAGCTCAGTACACGGAAGTTGGGCAAAGTTCCTATCAAGTTTGCTTCATCGTCTTCAGTCCAACAGATTACTGTTCCTCATGGCAGAGATGGTAAGAGAATTTTAGGTCATATTACCAACTTCTGTGTGTAATTAAGAAATTTCTTGATTGGGTCTTTCTAGTTAGAAAACCTAATTTTAATTTTAAACATTAGGTTGTACATGATTATATCATCTTTTATTTACATAGCTGTGAAGAGAATATAATTTATTATGTTTTTACTTCAATTTCTAGTGAAATTAACAACCTATGTGAAACTCATGCTACTTGTGGTTGACGTATTTTCAACTCATAATACTTGTCATAAGAATGCAGGTAGTTCATGAAAACATAAAAACTATAGAGGTTCAATTTTAGGGAGGTAGATAATTATTTGGCATTGTTTTTTATAATTGTTTTGCATGATACAATGAACAGATAGCAAACACAATACCAGTCTATTTCTTTTTCAAGAAACGTTGACCAGGGACCCAGGTTGACTGTGACCCTGCTTTCTTTAAAACATGGAACCTTGGATTCATCATCATAGTCAACTGGAAGGGACGAAAAGCATGGAGGAGCACATGCTGGGAGGCTTTTATGGGCTAGGCCTAGGTGTGGCCCACATCACTTTCCACTGACTAGGAATAGTTTAGCTGTGCTTTCCAGGATGAAGAAGAAATGAGTTTTGGTGAACAGCTAGCAATCTCTACCATAAGGTCTACATTTAGAGTGTTCATATGCTCTCATGACAGTGATATTTTTATAGTCCTTATACTATATAACATTCAAAATTATAGCAAGTTATTTTCTTTTTTCAGACCAGTAACTAGAAAGTTAAGTTCCCATTCTACCTCCAAATTAGGGTGGGAACTTTAAATTACTAATTTTAAAGTATTCAGTAGTTTGTACAAATCTATTCAAAATATATTTTAAGTTTTCCTACTTATGCAAAAAGTTTGTCTGTAGGTATAAATGGAATATGCCTAAATGTATAAAGAAAATTGCTTAGTTCCACATTTAAATTGTACTGAATTTAATTTGAATAAATATATTTATATGTTGAAATGGTTATATTTCTTTTCTTTTTTAAAAAAATTTTGTTTATTTTATTTTTTGCTGTGTTGGGTCTTCATTGCTGCGCACAGCCTTTCTCTAGTTGCAGCGAGTGGGGGCTACTCTTCATTGCGGTGCACGGGCTTCTCATTGCAGTGGCTTCTCTTGTGGCGGAGCACGGGCTCTAGGCGCGTGGGCTTCAGTAGTTGTGGTGCATGGGCTCAGTAGTTGTGGCTTGTGGGCTCTAGAGCGCAGGCTCAGTAGTCGTGGCACATGAGCTTAGTTGCTCCACGGCATGTGGGATCTTCCCTGACCAGGGCTGGAACCCGTGTCCCCTGCATTGGCAGGTGTATTCTTAACCACTGCGCTATCAGGGAAACTCGAGATGGTTATATTTCTTAAACATTTTTATTGTGAAGTAAAATTATGCCCCCCAAATGTATAGTCTAATAAATATCACACAGAACACCTTTAATGTGTCAGTTACCTATTGCCACCGTGATACTGTATAAGAACCTCGAAAATCTCAGTGCTTTGTAGCAACAGACATTTGCTTTCTTCACTCAAGGGCTTATGAGTCAGTTGGAGTTTGGCATCAGGATGCAAAAATGGTTTGGGTCTGTTCCACATGCTTGTACTGAAACCCAGGCTACTCAAGGCTATGTTGTTTTCATGTTGGTGGCAGAGCACAGGAGAGGAAATCCAACTGTGAAAGTGTATTTTATACCTCTTCTGACATCAAACGGATCAGTCTATATAGAGGCCACAGTTCATGTTTTTACCTTTACATACAGGTACTTGGTAGAAAGGACTCCTTTAAAAGATAAATATTTTTTGGTTTACTAATAAAATATTATTTTTAACTCTGTGGATTCAGAAGTAAAATTTTAAAAAATATTTTAAAAGTATACAGAGTAGTATGTTGAATTTATGACTATGTGTCCACTGCTCTGAATTAACAAATTAAGAGTAATATGTTATATGTTTATAGTTAGTTCCATTTTCAAGTTTTTTGAAGAAATAAATTTTATGGTTGGACTTTCTTCTTTACCCTTCTCTTGTCCTTTCTTTCTCTCCCAGGAACAACCATTATTTGCTTAATAGTCGCTTCTTCCCCCAGAGATAGGCAGTCCAAAGTAACTTTAAGACTTCTGCATCCAAACATAAAGTCGTTGAGAATTTCAAAAAGCCACTTATCTTGTCTTTGAATTCTCCATCTCCACATGGTAGCCATTCTTGCTCTGGGTCCATTGTAATTCTGCCCAATTGTTGGTGTCCATTTTCTGCAAACTTTGAAGTAAATGGTAAATTTAACCATCACTACCAAGCTTTATATACACTGGTGGAGGAAGAAAACTAATAAATCAATATTCTAACAATAATGACTACAGCAATGTCCAAGTAGAAGTAGAGGCTACAGCCTATTTTTTTCTGTTATTTAAATTCTTCCCCCTTCATTCTTCTTGAATTCAGCCAGGTTCTCATTAGCTGGGGTTTTGCCTGATAGGTTGGTACAAGTATTCCTAAGTAGTCTAAGACTTTGCTAGCCCTGCATAGGTTTAACGTAATTTTTGTTAATTTCTATGACCAGGCTTGGTAAAGTGGTCCCCTAGGTGTAAGCCATACTCCTATTGACTTTCTTTTTTTAAGGTAACCTTATTTCTCCCTGATAGTTAAGGTCAGTTGTAGTTTTAGTCAACACTATGGCATCCTATTCCCTGTATTGTTTCAGTGACGTAAAGAATGTAAAATGACTAGATGGCTCCTGTCTCCTGGTAGAAGTGCCCCTCCCTTATTTCTAAGATCTTCCATCAAACAAAGCAGAGTCATAGAGATAGAAAGCAAACGATTTTAAAGGCTTCTGCCTTTGTTCCTAAATACATGCATTCTGTCTGTGGGATAGGCAAGTGCCATATATGGTTCTGAGCACATGCCATATTCTGTAAGCTAGCATTCCAACCTCAGAAAGTTATGCCTCCCAGCTTGTGCCATATCAGTTATCAGTAAATTGTTCACTCACTTTTTTTTTTTGAGTTTACCATAGTTGTGGGTGATCAGGCTTGTGATGAGAACAGTGACTCCTTTTAGGCATCAGCCTTTTGTCTCATTTCCTTCACTATGAAGTCAGTTCCTTGGTTGGAAGCAGGGTACTAATAATATGGATTCCGTTTCAAATCATCAGAATGATGGAGTGGTCAAGGATGGTAACACAATTCTAAATAATGTAAAAGTTGTTATTGTGTCCAGAATGAAGGAGATCTCATTCTACTCTGGGACTATCAGACTCTGTCTAGAGTATTTTGATTTTTATAAACTAGACATGGCCAACTAGGAGTCCATCTCTTAGAGGTAATTACAGAATGCAAGAGAAGACCATCGTCTATAAGGATAAACTGAAGAAGCTGTTGTGTTTAATCAGGAGAAGTGGTAGCTATCTACAAAATTTTATTTGAATGAGCAGTACAACCCCATAAATACTCAGGAGTAACCTAAACAAGAATTTTATAGGACTCATGTGATGGAAATACTAATCCTTTGTGTAGGCACAGAAAAGGACAGTAGACTAAAAGAAGGGATGGGATATTTCTGAATGGGAAAATTGAATATTGTAAAGATGTCACTTATTCCCAAATGAATTTAAACTCTAACGTAATTCTACTAAAAATTCTAATGGAATTGTTCTTTTGAACTTGTTGAATTGATCTTAAATTTTTTCAGGAAGAATAATAAAGAAAATACTGGAAAAGAAGAGTAATGGGGAGGATAAAGTTTAGCAGCAGCCAGTGGAGTGTTTTAATGGGATGCCTGGAAGTTGAAGACATTATTCTCACCCTTGACCTATGGGCCCAGACTTAGTCATATGTCCATACATGTCTGCAAGGGAGATTGGGAAATACAGTGTACAGATGAGCAGTATGTACCCAGCTAAATATCAAAATGCTGTTACAGAGAGAGAGTTTCTACCACATCATGAAAGAAAAACGAGTATATAGAAAAAGATTTCAGGGACTTCCCTGGTGGCACAGTGGTTAAGAATCTGCCTGCCAGTGCAGGGGACACGGGTTTGAGCCCTGGTCCGGGAAAATCCCACATGCTGCGGAGCAACTAAGCCTGTGCGCCACAACTACTGAGCCTGTGCTCTAGAGCCCGCAAGCCACAACTACTGAGCCCATGCTCCACAACTGCTGAAGCCTGCGTGCCTAGAGCCTGTGCTTCACAACAAGAGAAGCCACCGCAGTGAGAAGAGTGAGAAGCCCGTGCACCACAACGAAGAGTAGCCCCCCTCTCTGCAATTAGAGAAAGTCCGCGTGCAGCAATGAAGACCCAATGAAGCAAAAAAAAAAAAAAAGAAAAAGATTTCATCTTCTATGATAATCAAATTACTACCATGTCACAGACATTTTAGAAAGAATTTTACCAGTTAGTATTTTTAAAAAAAGAAACTTTATAAATGACATAATTTTTCACTCTGAAATCAGAAAATTTATGTGAGATGGGGCAGCAGGGGAGAATGGGTATGCTATAAACAGGAAGTCTTTATTTACAGAATTCTTTATTATTGAAAATTTAATTCAGCCTAAATTTTTAACATTATGAGAAGGGTTAAATGCACTTTATCTGTAGTATAATGATAAAAAATGTGAAGATAGGAAATAAAATGAATATTTTATTAATGTAAAGTAGAAAAACTGAATTCCAAATTATACATACTATACACAACTATGTAAACAAATAAGAAATACAGAGGAAAGACCTGTAGAAATACATTAAAATATTAATAATAGTTATCTTTGAGTGGTAAGACTTTGTCTTTTTTATTTCTGTGTATTTTTTTAATATTGAGAATTTATACTTTTATAATGGAAAACTTATTTTGAAAATCTGCCACATAGAAGAGAATTAGATTTACTTTCTATGACTCTGGAGGGAGAACCTTCAAAGATCAGTAGTAGGGGTTGACAGTGACCAGGTTTGGGTTCAATATAAGATAAAGTGTTTCTTAGTTAGAGCCATCTAAATATGGAATAGATTGCTAAGAAGTCATCTTCTCAATGGATCCTGCCCTTACCACTCTATTGAAACTGCATCCTGCTGCAATTTCCCAAATACTTCTAATCTTCCTCAGCATTTTCTAATTTTTTTGGGGGGGTGGCTGTTTTGGGTCTTCGTTGCTGCACATGGGCTTTCTCTAGCTGTGGCGAGTGGGGGCTACTCTTCGTTGTGGTGCAGAGGCTTCTTATTGTGGTGGCTTCTCCTGTTGCGGAGCACAGGCTCTAGGCGCGCAGGTTTCAGTAGTTGCAGCATGAGGGCTCAGTACTCACAGCACGAGGGCCCTAGAGCAGTAGTTGTGGCACATGGACTCAGTAGTTGTGGCGCACGGGCTTAGTTGCTCCACGGCATGTGAGATCTTCCCAGACCATGTATCGAATCCATGTCCCCTGCATTGGCAGGCAGATTCTTAACCCACTGCGCCACCAGGGAAGTCCCAGTATTTTCTAATTTTTTTTTTTTTTAAAGAAGATGTTGGGGGTAGGAGTTTATTAATAATTTATTTTTGCTGTGTTGGGTCTTCGTTTCTGTGCGAGGGCTTTCTCTAGTTATAGCAAGCGGGGGCCACTCTTCATCGCAGTGTGCGGGCCTCTCACTATCACGGCCTCTCTTGTTGCGGAGCACAGGCTCCAGACGCGCAGGCTCAGTGGTTGTGGCTCACGGGCCTAGTTGCTCCGCGGCATGTGGGATACTCGCAGACCAGGGCTCAAACCCGTGTCCCCTGCATTGGCAGACAGATTCTCAACCATTGCCCCACCAGGGAAGCCCCATATTTTCTAATTTTTTATGTCACTAATAATTTATAAAAATACTATTTACTTATTTAGTATGCTAATTGTTTACTGTATATCTCCCTCTTCTAGAATGCTAGTTTACTGATATATTCCAAGAATCTTGACCACTGCTTGGCACATTAAAGGTACTTAATATTTGTTCAGTTAATTAATAAATGTTTTCTTATTAATTATTCTGATCTTTATCTCCTTAGGCCAGCCTTTACTGTTGCCATATAAGCCTTCTGGTAGTACGAAGATGTACTATGTTCCCCAATTAAGACAAATTCCTTCATCTCTGGATTCCAAGTCAGACACCACCATTGAGAGCTCACACTCAGGTATTATGCAGAAATTATTCAGAATTTTATTTTTTGAAATTTTATTTGTGGATTGGCTGTTTAATTCTGGATGACATGTGAAAGCTCAGTGCTATTTAATCTTTAAGTGAAACATGGAGCTTTTCTTGACTCAGTCTCTGGTTCAGATAGGTGAGTTATTTGGTCAGATGTATTGTGTACACTCAAACATTTGATAAATATTTGAAGAAAATTGTATGAACAGTTACTTATTTGGGTTAGTGGACTCCATCTAGGACAAAGGTTTCCAAGTTTTCTCTGTTCACAGTCACCTTAGTGTTTGGGTGATTTCTTTTCTCATCATCATGGGGATATAAATCACCAGCAGCATATAAATACATGAAGTATTTTTTCAGATACTAAGCTATTATGTTATTAGGACATAAAAATACTTACCATTTTGATCTTACAACTTAATAAACAAAAATATTTTTTGTTTTGTGTTTGAAAGAAAGCATTTTACTTTGTTCATAAATGTGCATAATTACTTGCTAATGAGATATGTGTGGCTATTAGGGCACAGTTTCTCAAACCTTGAGATGAAATTGGACACAACCACCCTCATTTATTGCTTTTGTTACAGAAACTGTCAAGAATCCAACTCTGCAGAGATACAGGTAGCAGCATTGAAAGGAATGTAGCAGTATCTAATGTTGGAACTTTAAACTATCTTTAGCTATTAGTTTTTGTCCTGTACACCAGATATTAAATATCACTGTTTCCCTAGAATTTTAAAATATCCCACAGCATCCCTGTGAGATCACCACAATAGAACTGCAGATTTAGAAAATGAATAGCATCCCGTGGAGGAACTGAATAAATATCTTCTGTGGAAAATTATAAGGATACTGAGTTGGTATGGTGTGGGGTTTTGATTGTTGGGATAACATATTGATTGGTCCACAGGAGTTGAATCAGTTCAGTTTAGATATAAATTGTACATGATTTGTCATAAGACATCTTTATAGGTGTAGAAATTAAAAAGAAAGTAGTTGTCCCTGGTCTTACGCAGATTTTCTGTTAATTTTAAGAGGACCCAACTAGTATCTGATAGTAACTGAGTTAAAGCCCCTGGTAAAATTGCTCCTGACTTCTCACTGTGATGCCACTGAAAAAAAGAACCACAAAATGCTCATATGTTAGGATTGATTATTAAGCCTATAACCAGGAACTGGAAGAAATTTTCACTACCTGCATGGCTATGATTTTTAAAACACACTTAATGGCTACCAGAAATAAAACATGCTTACTTAATTGATTGTAGGTAGGAAAATCTTTTATCTCAGTCTCACTTTCAGCCACCTAGTTCAGAAGACAGAATGTAATAATAGAAGTCTAATCAGGTGTTCCAGTATTTTTTGAGGCCTCCTGTGTACTTCTATTCATTTACATCCTAACTCTTCCCTTTGGAGACATTAACTTTGAGAAAAATTGGACAGTAGTGGGAAGAGAAAATGACTCAGCGATGGTACATTGTATCCTGAGATATACTGTCCCTATAAATAAAGTACTGAATGCATCAATTAGACAAGAAGAGATCTGTTAGCTATATACACTTGAGGTTCTCATTTATCATGTTCTGCATCTATTCTGAGAGTGAGGGAGTTGACAGTTGAAAATAATAGTTTCTTAGACCAGTAGAGCTGCTCTAGATGAAAGCCTAGGAATTGTTCTGATGGATATTGTCTATTAGTATGTTGTGATTCTATAGATATTAGAAAGATCCAACTAGAGTTTGGGGCCAAGGGCAAGTCATAAACCATTGCAGATATTTGGACCAAATAATTTCTCTTCAGTTGAGAATGAGTAAATAATTGAACTCATAAAATTCTTTTAAAAACAAAAACAAAGGGACTTCGCTGGTGGTACAGTGGTTAAGAATCCGCCTGACAATGCAGAGTACACGGGTTCCAGCCCTGGTCCGGGAAGTTCCCACATGCCACAGAGCAACTAAGCCCGTGCGCCACAACTACTGAGCCTGCGCTGTAGAGCCTGCGAGCCACAACTACTGAGCCATGTGCCACGACTACTGAAGCCCGCACGCCTAGAGCCCATGCTCTGCAACAAGAGAAGCCCGCGCACTGCAACAAAGAATAGCCCCCACTCGCCGCAACTAGAGAAAGCCCGTGCACAGCACCGAAGACCCTACACAGCCAAAAATAAAAATACATAAGCTAAAAACAAAACAAAAGCAAAAACCAAGGCAAAGGTAACCTCGCAAAGAAAGAGATAGATGTTAGAGATTTACTCATTAGGTCAAGTAACACTCTTTAAGTAGTAACAGGATTTCATTTATATCTGACAGTAAGTTCTGTGAATATAGGTACAATAGATGTTAGAGATTTACTCATTAGGTCAAGTAACACTCTTTAAGTAGTAACAGGATTTCATTTATATCTGACAGTAAGTTCTGTGAATATAGGTACAATAGATGTTAGAGATTTACTCATTAGGTCAAGTAACACTCTTTAAGTAGTAACAGGATTTCATTTATATCTGACAGTAAGTTCTGTGAATATAGGTACAATAGATGTTAGAGATTTACTCATTAGGTCAAGTAACACTCTTTTTTTGTGTGTGTGTGTGGTATGCGGGCCTCTCACTGTTGTGGCCTCTCCCATTGTGGAGCACAGGCTCCGGACGTGCAGGCTCAGCGGCCATGGCTCACGGGCCTAGCCGCTCCGTGGCATGTGGGATCTTCCCAGACTAGGGCATGAACCCATGTCCCCTGCATTGGCAGGCGGACTCTCAACCACTGCGCCACCAGGGAAGCCCCAAGTAACACTCTTAAGTAGTAACAGGATTTCATTTATATCTGACAGTAAGTTCTGTGAAGTTAGGTTCTATGTCTTTTTTTTTAAAGCCATTTTATACCTCATACCAATATATAATATAGATGTTATTTTTATATTCATTTAAAGTCATTTAAATACTTTATGTACTAATACTGTCAATAGGAGCAAAAAGCCATGGGGAGAGAACTGGCCGGGATTTTTAAAACAAAATGAAGAGTTAATAGCAGAAAAAAATGGTGGAGTAAAGACCTCCAAAATTTTGCCCTGTGATAAAAGCAACAGAATTTTGGCAAAACTTTATGGAAAACTTTTCCAAAACTCTGGAAATTAACCAAAGGCTTGTAGCTTTTGTAGTAAGCATTTACTCAAGAAAAATGGCTAAACCTTGATAAGAATAGTAAGCTTGTGGCATTTTAACTTGCCCTCTTCTCATTGCCACACTCAGCTCAGTGATAACCTTGAAAAATATCAGCCTGCATTCCCAGGACTGGAGGGAGCAGAACAGAGCTGTACCTCTTTCAAAATTTCATTCCCAAAGAATTGTCAGTATTTGACCTGTCTGATGGCTCTCTGGAAGACTCCACTCAAAAAGCTTATCTTTATTTGACCTTACTCAGAGCTATCCAGTGTGTATGAGCCTCTGTGTCTATGTGTGAGGTGTTTGTCAAAAAACACTTACAGGCAAGTGTTTTATTTTAGTTTCTTAAATATTTATTTATTTTATTTATTTATTTTGGCTGTGCCGGGTCTTAGTTGCACCACTCAGGATCTTCGTTGCGGCATGCAGACTCCTTAGTTGCAGGACCTAGTTGCCTGACCAGGGATCGATCCCGGGCCCCCTGCATTGGGAGCTTGGAGTCTTACCCGTTGGACCACCAGGGAAGTCCCCAGGCAAGTGTTTTAATGCCACAATGCATGAGGCAGTGGGTAACACTTGAGACAAACAATAGACTAACCAAAAGCTGTAACGGAAAAACTGAGGATGAGACGTCCATAGATATTTTGAAAAGCATTTACATATTCCTAGGACTCTAGAAGACCACAGGTGTGCACAGGCCTGAGTGCATGCTGAGGAAAGACCTGAGAGGGGCCTGCCCTTTACTTTGGCTGCCCTTGAGGCTCTGGGCAAAAAGAAAGGGAAGGCTAAGGCAGAATTGATAACTCCCTGCCCTCAGCATTGACGGCTATGTGCACGTAGTCCCTCAGCAAAGACTGGGAGATTTGTTGTTTCTAGATGTTTAAGGATATCTCCATCTAGGCGTTAGCTGACCACTAAGCTAGTTGAGTGGCAGCTTCCATAGACTTTATAGAATTTGTTCAGAAAAGTTACTTTAAAAAAACAGCATAAAGCAACAGCAGGAAACCCTAGGGAGGTAGTAGACTCTGATTTCCAGGGTTGTTACATTATATTTTTTAAGATGTCCAGTTTTCAACAAAAAGTTACAAGATATGGAAATTCAAAATAAAATATATATATATATGGTCCATACAAAAGAAAAATAGCAGTTTAGAAACTGTGAGGAATCTCAGACATTGGACTTACTAAATGAAGACTTTAAAATAGCTATTTAAAATATGTTCAAAGGACTAAATGAAATCATGTCTAAAGAAGTATAAGAACAGTGTCTTACCAAATAGAGAATATCAATAAAGAGAAATTACAAAAAAGAACCAAATAGAAGATCTGTAGTTGAAAAGTACAATAACTAAAATTAAAAATTGACTGGAGAAAGCTCAGTATCAGATTTGAACAGGCAGAAGAATGAATCAGTGAACTTGAAGATAGGCCAATTGAGATTATCCAGTGTGAGAAACAGAAAGAAAAAAGAATGAAGAGAAATTAACAGAATCTCAGAGTCCTATGGGACACCTTCAAGCATCCTGTTATATACATAATGGGAGTTCCAGATGAAGAGACAGAAAAAGAGACTGAAGGAGTATTTGGAGAAATAATGGCCTAAAATTTCGCAAATTTGATGACTGCTGTTAATCTGCACATCCCAAAAGCTCAAGGAAGTCCAAGCATGATACAGTCAAAGAGATCCAGATCTAGATACATCATAAACCATCAAATGACAAAGACAGTGTTAAAGCAGCAAGAGTGGAGTTATCATGTACAAAGAATCTTCAATAAGATTAATTGCTGATTTTTCATCAGAAACCATAGAGGCCAGAAGGCATTGCAAT